CTGTCAGATAAATCTGAGTCCAGGGCAGAAATGTAGTTTGAGAAAGCATCTCAAACATGAGATGCTTCCCTTGTTCTCACGAAAATAGAGGGAGGGAGTCTTTCAAGATTCAGACTTGCAAGATTCTGTTAATGTAACCTTACAATGAAAGCAGTATTAGCTGTGAGATATATCTGTGGCTGTGTGAATTTTGTATGAGGGCTGTGTATGTTTGTTAACCCAAACAGCAAAAAATTGACTTGTTCCTTTTGATGTGGAATAATCCCTGAAACAAATTACTTTAAAATGAATAATTTAAGGGGTTATAAACCCTTTGATCTTTAATTTAAGATCAATTCCAAATGTGGTCTGTCTTCTATTTTTCAGTAAGTTGGTATTTCAGAGTCTCCCACTTTCTGTGCAAAACTAAAAAATGCCTGTTAGTTAACATATCTATGTAGACAGGATTACACAACAACTTTATCCTATATATTTGTCTTTGCAATAGCAGTTAGCAGCATTTTACAATGATAGTTATGTTTCTTCTACATATATGAGTGGACAGGAAAAGGTTTAATTCTACATCTTCTGTCTAGAAGGTAGGGCTGAAAACTGCTTCCTATCCCTTGTAGGAAACCGCTCCTCTCAGTCTCTAACTCTATTTTCTAGGAAGATGCTCTAGCTTTTTTCTTGCTTCCATCTTGAGGGGCAAGAACTGGAGGAGGAAGAAGAGAAGGAGGAACAATTCTGACAACATAGGTTTGACTGCTGGGTCAGTAGCTGGGCAGCTACCTAGTGCCCCAAGATCAGAACCTAGGAACACTCAAGCCAAACCAGGAGCCATAGGAACTTCTAGATTCAGTGGAGAAGATGAACAACACTAGCAGTGAACTAAGTTTTCCAGTGGACTAGGCACTGGGTGGTACCAACTGCAGCAACCCTCCTGCAGGCTCTATTTTGATGGATTATGTATTGGTCATTACACCTGTAGTGACTCTTCTGGCATCCTGAGCAAACCCACTGGGTAGTGCTAACAGTTGTGAACCTCTGACAGCCAGAATCATCACAGAAGCCAGAAGGGTGAACCTACAACAAAGACATGTGAGTCTCTATCATTAGAATGGTAACAGGAGAATCAAGGAACACCAGATATGGCAGAAAGGCTGGTGAGCTCTGATAGAGCAGGGAGACACAAGGTAGCCTAGCAATAGCAACTCAGGGCTGTTGGAAGATGAGGTCACAATTGTGTCCAGTCTATTCATAGAACATGGATAGGGAAAGGGAACTGAGAAAGGGAGCAACATGCTAAGTGATGAGAAGGATCCCCATTTTCTGTGCGGAAGTGAAAGAATCGCATTATACATCTGAAGCCCATTTTTCATGGGGGGGGGGAATCCAGAGGAAAATCAGGTTTTAGATGATGCTTTTGTACAGTCCACACCTTAACATCAAAGACTGTTTAATGCTGACTTACTTTTGGTGATATATAAGTCAGCAAAGATGATGAATCTGCCTCCTAGAGATCACTACATTCTGCCAAGGTTTTCCTTTCAGGTTCCAAAATAGACTTTAGAATGCTTTTTCTGGACTTCGCAGAGATAATCAAGGAGCAGTGGGCAGAACCAGCAAAACTCAAGATATCCTCCACACTGACAAGGAAGTTGTATCTCCCTTCCCATGATAAACAGCAGTGAGCTAGTAACAGTTCTAATGTGTAAATCAATTGTCCCGAGAAAGAAATAGAGATGCTCACAGATCCACTGGAATGTAGGACAAAGTGCTGAAATGGATTCATGAAGCAACAGTACTAGGAATCAGGACTGCAGCTGTTTCATTAATCATTGCTCAGGCTTTGATGATATAGACATACTAATCAGAAGTTGCAAGGTATAATATGATTATAAAATTATATTATAATGCAATATATATTACAATACAACACAATACAATACAATATTTTTTATTGTTGTAGGGCATAATAACAGAACCTTGAAATCCTGAGTGTTTCCCTTTGGCCCTCCTATTGGCTGCCTCTTCAGTGACCAAAAATGGTAGTTGGATTTATCATGGAGTAACTTTTGGGTCACAGGAAGATGGAGCCAAAGTTTTCACCCTACTTGAAAAGGATAAATTCCTTTTTTGCTGTTGCACATTGTTCTTCTGTTTCTCGTGTTGTTGCTGGGGGCAGGATTTCTGTTGTTACAGTGGAATCATTCAGTTAATAAAGTTGAACTATTCCCAGTGTAAGTCAGTGCAAGCACCAGAAGGGGGGAGGGGTTTCTCCATGAAAAGAGGAGGTGGGATTAACCCTTTACTGTCAAGTCCATCTTTTGGTAATCAGCGAGATGTTTCACATTCACTATTGTTCATTTGTCTTTTCAGATTGATGTAGTCTTAGTGTAAACATTTTGAATAATCTACAAATCATGAGGTCCCTTAGTGGTGTTTGTAAATGGGGCTTCCTTCAGTACTATGGTGGCTGATCCTTGCCTGCCTAAGGATAGTTAGTAGCATGGAATCACAGTGTACCAGTGTTGTGTAGTACCAGATGGAAACTATGTTGTGTTGAGTCTTACTGTATCTCACTCTTGCATGAATAACTATTAAACTTGTAGACTGCCTGACTCTTAATGATTCTGGAGGGCTCACAACAATCAAAGAAATTACAATAAAATCAATAAAAATAATAAGATAAAGATAAAAGAAGGCAAGCATGACAGACCAGATGGAATGTGGATGTTTCAGAAGCAGTTTCTAAATAGCTGAGCTGAGGAGGATTACAACAATTTCTTTGAAGATTTGAAAGCCTCTGTTAGCTATTATTTTGAGAAAATGTGAAATTTCACATAAGTGTCAAATATATAACTGTTCTTGATAGGTTTTGAAGCCAATCATGTATACAGGTATTCTTTAAAATTGAACTAGCACTTGGAACTCTTGTGTTCCTGCTCCCACCCACCTTCATCCCAAATCTGTTGCCACTTTCCACTAATACCTCCTGCAGACCATTAGCTTTAGGAGATGAATTGTGACCTACCACTATTGAACTGTAGCCATTTATGGGTACATTTTGACTGGTATTTTTGGCAGCACAGTTGCATATCTCTCCCAGCATTCCTCAGTTGAGTTTCTGACAGAGTAGGAGGAAAGACTACTTGGGTGGCCAACAGTCTGAATAGTTTGAATGGATGGATGGATGAGGCAGAAAGTTCTTGAAGTCCTTATTGAGTTTTGTTTTCTACTCCTAGGATGTTGGCTCTAGGAGGTGGGCTACCTTATCTAGAACATCTCAATCTCTCTGGTTGTCTGACAGTAACCAGTGCAGGCCTGCAAGACTTGGTCTCGGTGTGCCCTTCTCTAAATCATGAACACTTTTACTACTGTGACAACATAAACGGTAATGTCTTTTGAATAAAATATTTGTCTGTTCAGACTTCACAACCATTTCTTTTATGTAGATGCAAGACCTCCAGTATGCCCTACAAACATTTGATTGATAAATTGTCTTGCCAAAGGTGTAGATTTAAAATTTATTCTGAGTTAGTGGTCTTTTCTTAAGGAAGCATAGTTGTGGGGAATATTAAAGGATCCAGTTTCAGGCAAATGGTTGGTGATAGGTTTATAAAAGAAAGGAATGTCTAGTTTTGTATTGCTCTTATTCTGGCATACATGTTTATAAAGAGATCAGAAGTAACATGTCATCCCTGTTTTTAAGTTTTTATGAATTGAACTCTTAATATTTTAATTTTGATTGCTTTCAAAGATTGTCTGTTACAGTATTAATTCCACACCAAATATCTTATTAATAACATTCTAACTACTGAGTTTTGTTTTCAGTGTGAAAGTACATTTAAAAATGGCATTCTTGCTCAGAGTTGAAATCCTCTTAAGCCTGAACCAGTAACTGGACTTACAGACCAAAAGGCATGTCGAGAATGTTCTTGGCAGAAATGCTTCTGTATGATGGTTATGTTGGTATCTTATGCAAGTTCCCGACTTACCGCTTGATATGCCTCATGAAAGTGAAATTCACACATGAGAAATGTTGCCTTCCAAGCATTTAGAGTGTTGTCTGAATAGATTTGCAAAATGATGCAATGCTTGTAAGTGGTTGTCTAAGTTGTACTTACATGTGTTCTAAGAATGACATCTGGTGCTCCTTTCATTTTCTCTTCACATAATGGGGAATTCCATTATGCGTACCATTTTCTTTTTTCTTGAAGTATAGAGATTTAAGTATACTGGGTGGGTCTACTGTTACTGTTTACAGGAGGAAATTGAGGAAGTGCATAACAGACTTAAATGTTCTGTCCAGAGATCCTGGGCTGCACAAATACTAATGCTTCATGAGGAATATGCAAGATCATATTGGAGTATATTTCTATTGTTGCTGACTTTCTGCTTGCAAGCGAGAAAGTGATGTTTGAATATGTCCCTTCTGTTTTAAAATCAGAAGTGGAAGAGAACTGGTTTCCTTTGATTTGAATTTGTTCTGAGAAAATTTCATTCCCTAACCTTGCATTTTGAGATAAAGAATTCTAAAAGACACTTCCCATGTAGCTTTTGGGAAAGCATTTCAGAGGGAGGAAGGAGGGAGTCATCTGGCTTCTAGTCTTAAAAGACTTGTACAAAAGGAAAATAATAGACCTTGCTAAGTCGATTCTTCAGTTCATCTTCTTGCAATTACTCAGTTGGAATTTGAGAAGCAGTCATAAGCTGGCTCCCCAGCTGTCCTTCGTTGCAGCCTGGGAAGCACCCCCAAAACATCTGAGTCAAATTAAACTGCCTCAAACAATATCTAGGATTTTTTAAAGTCATTAGACTTCCCTAATGGTGGTGTTAGGACTGATTTATTACTTCAGTTTTTCTGATATTTGAAGAAATTTTAAATTTTATGTAAAGGTGTTTTTATCCTAATTTGGAATAGTTACTCCTTTAATGTTTGCATGGACAACAGCTGAATAAATCTCTCATTTGAATGTTAGCTTAAGGAACTTGATGCCACTGTCTTACTCACACTTTATATTGGAGCTTGTGCGCTGTTTCCTCCCAACCCCACCTCCATCTCAGCTGTTGTTTTCTGCAAGTTAGATTGAACAGGTTTGAGGGGAGGAAGCAAACACTGAAACAAGAACAAATGACAGTATGAAGCATGGAGCCTCTTGTAAAAAAAATAATAAAATCAAGTCATTTTTTTAACCTAATAACAATCGTTGACCTGGTAATTGGATTGTATGGAAATTCTACAGTAGACAAAGCATATATGGAAAATCAGTAGTGAAGTGTAGGATCCCAAATCTTACTAAAATTCTTTGATATAACATTGTACTAGCACACGGATGATAGTTTCAGTATGGAATCAGGAAAGGTACTTTAGCATGACCATTTCAAATTGGAGCTACATTCAGAAAGAGACAAAATATCTATGTATTGCTAGGGTTAACATGGTTATTCTTGTTCATTAAGAGAATTTTGACTGAAATTCAGTAGCACATCAGTTCTAAACACATCTGTGGTTTTTATAAATGTGTCAGGTAATGCAGGCCCTAGATTGCCTGCTTTTTTTTTTTTTTAGAGGAAGTCCTAGCAAATGGAGGTAAGTAGCTTTTGGTAGAGTTTTAATGTGCAGTCCAGTTTTCTTAACAGATTACAGAAGTTTCATTAGTAAGAGATGTGTCACATTGTTCCTTTAATCTTTGTGGGATAATAGTGCTTAGATTGGATGAATTGGTCTGTACATTTCCATATTGGCTGTAATCTGAGGTTCCCCTTTCACCAATGGCCCCCTTGCACTCCAGGTAAACAGTTTTGCTAGCGCAGCTTGAAACCCTTAGTGAAAATCACAGGAACACATTTCTTGCAAGAACGGCTTCTGCCCAGGCTGCGCACAGTCCCTTTTTCTTCCTTTCACATTTGTTCTGTCTTTGCACAGGTCCTCACGCTGAAACTGCCAGCGGATGCCAGAACTTGCAGTGTGGTTTCCGAGCCTGCTGCCGCTCTGGTGAATGATCCGACTCCTTACCTTTTCCGTCTACTTCATTTAGCTCCGCAGGCTTCCTCTCATGCACTTTACTTACAGTTCGCATCTTGTTCTTGACCGTTCCCTTTTGGAGTGTGATTTGTGGATCCTTTTTGCTCTGTAATTCAGAAACGTGTAAGCAAACTGTGTAGGGTTGTATCATTTTTCACAGTGTTCCACGCTCTGATTTCGAAGGTGAGGGGTTTATTTTTTTGTGCTGTGAAAAAAAATTATTAAATCATTTTGACACTTTTGCCCTAATATTTGGCACTTAAATTTGGGAATGTTTTTTTTTCCTCTTTGTGCTAAGTCCATTAAAAAAAAACCCCTTATATGCTTATATAGAAATCTTTCAGTGAATGTGAAACACATTTGGATAACAAACATTATATATTGTTCAGTAGTGATTTCCCCCATAATCTTCTGATCCCAGAGTTGTTCTTCCTGAATGAGGGAGATTCCTTCTGTCTTTTAGTATTGATTTCACATTTTAGGCTTGAGGAACAGTAAATGAAACATTCCCATCGGTATCAGAGTTTGTTAGTCTGATAGAGTTACATTTACAGCAGGCCAGTGACTGTCGTTGCCACATCATCTTGTGGGCTTCTCAAAGTATTTGCTTAACTGTAGTTGCATAGCAACCATGATCCCCTGCATCTTCTACGTAGGCACACTAAAGATGCTGAATTTTGAAAGGGATTTTCCAAGAAGCAATTTCTCTGCGATAAGAGCAACTGTAATAAATAAATTGCAGCTTTAAGAAACTTGCTTGTGCTATCCATTTGCATGCTGGGAAGATACAAAAAGGTGGGAGATACTGTACTGGCATGTGTTTACAGGTAAACACTTACTGACTGCCTTGTGCAGTGGCCGAAATTATGATGGTGCTGAAAACATAACTTTGTGACCAAGGCATACGTTTACGATCTTTGCAGCGTCTCTCAGTTACGTGATTGCCATTACAGTCAATACGCATTGTCCTGTGTCTGACTTATTTCCCCCCCTCCCTTGCAGAGTGGAGAGATTGGAGAGGAAGGGATTACAAGACAGTAAGCAAACAGCTGGCATCAGTGCATTGCTTTTGATATGTATTCCCCTTGTGTGCCTGCTTATTGTTTTGTAATCCCTTTTTCTGCAATGAATGTAAATACAAACATTAATTCCTTTCTTCCTAATTATCCCAGCGCTGGGGGGTGAGCATTCCAAGGGGCAGAGGAGTGGGGAAAGGAAAGCAGTCACAATGATATGATTTCCCACATAGTGACTGCTTCACTTAGCAACCAAGTTGCCAGTCCCAGTTGTGCTTGCTAAACCAGGACTACCTGTATGGAAAAGTACAGTGCTTGGTTTCATGTCACACACTGAGAGCTGCCACTTTCTTAAAGAACAAAGGAGTTTTTCCAGATGGCCACAATCAAATAAGGTTGGCAGAAGGATTTGAAAGAACCAGGCTTTTTGCTGAAAGTACACAACTTTTTGTCATATTTCTCTGTCATAATTGGAGGAAAATAAATGTACCGTAACTTAATGTTTCTTATTTTATTTTGTAAATAATAACTTTTTTCTTGATTTATATGCTGCCTTTTGGTTAAAAAGAGCACTCATAGTAGCTTAAAGTTTAAAAACAAGAACTTTTTAATACATACTTTGCATAAAAAAGTAAAAAGACAGTGCAGACAGACATTCAATTCAAGTACATCAAAGTCCCGCCATTCCATTCCAAAGCTGCTCAGTTTTCAAACCCATTCAATTCAGTGCTTGTCCTGGTGAAAGTCCTCCACGTGATTCTCCTCCATTAAATGTGGAGACTTTTTGCATACAGTGGATGCCCAGAATCTGTCTGGTGTATTGCAGGTTTGCTTGTATTCATGTATGGGGACACAATGGTATCTCTAATATGCACGATCAGGATTCAGATCTAAGAACCAAGAAAGCCTGGCTGCAGCGATAGAAAGTTTCTTGCAGCCCTAGGATGGCAAGTTTTATACAAACATGAAGCAATCTGTGTCAGGAAAAGAACTAAAGGATAAATATGGGTATACATATGCTGCCTTGAGCCCCTGGACAAAATGTGGATGTAAGTCAACTAAAGCTTGCCCATTTTCTCAGATAACTCTCACCCCCGTCCATCCTTTTGGAGAACAGTCCCCAGATTTCTGAGTTGCCGTTTCTGCTAAGCTCTGGCTACAACCATGATTGTTTTCCTTTCACACCCACTGAAAGGGATCTTACCTGTTACCAGTTTAACACTGATTGGGGGTGGGGTGTTTTACACTTAAATCAGTATTAGCAGAAAATAAAATTAAAAAAAAAAGTTTTCCCTCCATCTAATATAGTTCAGCAGTATTGAAACTGCACTGGCTTTTACTGATTCTCATTCCATCTGCAACTTAAGGAAGCTTATGGCAGTTAATGTCTGCTTTGCATTTACCAAACTAAGCTAAATTCTTATTTAGAATTCTACCCTGCTTTTTCTTTAGAAGCTCAAGGTGACCTACATCGGCATCTTCCTTCATTTTATACCTGCAACCACCGCCCTATAAGGTTAGTTGGGCTGGGGGAGACCAACTAGCCTTAGTCATCCAGTGAATTCCATGGCTGAGGCTGGATCATGCCCTTAGTCCTAAACCAAACTTTTAACCCCCCCATCACCTGTGTGTTAGGTTTTATGAGCCACATAAAGGCAAAATGTTTGACACCTGTTCTGTTGTTAGGGGAGAGTGCATGCTTTGATGTGGCAGGAAATACAGAAGTGCATAGTTGACTGACCACACACAGGACCATTGGCGTTCAGCACCTGGTTTCTAGTTCTTGCCAGTTTCTCTTGTTAGTGTTAGCAGCCGTTGCTCTCTTGTGCAAAATCCCCTGCGGATGCTAAGACAAAGGTATTTTTGTACGCAAAGCTTAACTGTACTGTGGGCTCAGGCAGAAAATTCCTTAAACAGCAGTGACTATCAGAATTTATGGAAAAGATCAGAGCCAGACTATTTCTATAGAGCCCTATCAGTTATGAACTAATGAAGCCACATAAATCCACACCGAAAGAATGTGTTTTGGGTAAGCATGAACATACACAGCTAGCGCAAACTCTACATTTGGAATTTCAGTCTTATGAACTCCAGTACTATATACAGCCTCTACTATAGATGTAACATCCGAAAATGGCATGTGGATCGGAAATCCTGAGACCTGCAAGGAGAAGGGAAAGAATGGTAAGGATTACCTAATTTCCAGTATGACATCATGTTCTGTCATAGCGTGCTTCTCACAGCATAGGATGAGCCCTGCAAAGCTTTGGAATTCTTTCCAGCCATTTACCAACAGTGGCCCTAGAAGTCAAAAGGTGTTTGTGCATGTGTGTTTGTGGCTTTTCTCCCCAGGGACTAATAAGTTGGTGTGCTAAAGTGTTTCCTCTGTGTTTTTTCATCAGCTTCTTCCTCCACCCTGAATTTGGTCCTGTTCTGTTCAGTTTTCAGAGTTCTGTGCTGGTGGACAGGATCTCGGCTCCCTTTTACAGAATTTCTTTCCAACAATCTGTTGGGTTGGAAACAAGCAATAAAAAATGGTCCAGGAAACAACATGCATCAGGATAGCAA